TCATAGAAAGTGTTTTTCTAAAAAAATGAAAAGTGAATTCTGTTATATCATGTGAGTAGAATACATATATATATACAGAGAGCCATTACATAATTGACCGGCATCAACACAGGCCACGCGTCCGGCATATGTGACATATGTGTACCTTAGCAAGCCATTATTCAGATCTGCTTTCAGTGCAATATAATCAGCTCAGAAAGATTGACACAGTGAGCTCATTTGATTATACAATTTCAACATTATACATATATACAAGAACTTTTTTTCTTTATTTATGATTATTTTTTATTTTAAATTTTGAAATTTCACATAAAATTTCTTCGAAATGTGTGAAAAAAATTTTTCCAACTATTTTTAATAAAAATAATTTTATTAATTTATTATTATTATTATTTTAATTTATTAAATAACTAAATTTTAGTAAAATATTGGCTGCATCAGCAAATTGGTACAAAAAAAAACTGTTTAATTATTTAGTAAAAAAAATTACTAATTGTTAAGTGAAAAAATAATTTTTAAAATTAAATTCTAAATAATTACAAGAATTCTTTATAGTAGTTGAATTCAAATTTTGTTATAATTACACAAAAAATTCTAATTTAATTAACATTTTGTTAATTTAGAAGAAAAATATAATAAATTCTAAAATAGGTATTTTAAAAAATTCCCTACGAAAGAATTTCATGCAACAATATAATACAAGAATAGAAGACTAAAATTTTGAAAATTCTTCTTTAAGTTCATGATAAGTTAAATGTAAATTAATACAAAGTTAATTTGTTTCTACTTATTTCTAAAAAAAATATATTATTCAAGGAAAGTAATTTTAAAAATTAATTAATCATCTAATAATGAGTAATAAGTGTACTTGAATGAAAAAAAAATATATTTTTCCCCTACTTTTTTTTGGTTACTTGACAAAAAAAAATATTTCCGGCGCAATATATATATATACGCTGAAAGTAGTTTATTTTCGGATGATTTTCAACGACTGTTGTCTAGATGAGCATAAGCACGTAGTCCACGTGTAACGATACAAGTGTCGCTTATAGTTGATTTGAATCAAGCACATTTTAATTAGTCACATGATTTATATATTTAAAAATGGCAATTGTGTTTAAAATTGTCGTGATAATATTTTGTTCAGTGTGAATTTCAATTTTTAAGTGTTTTGCATTATAGATGATCTCTTTCTTTAAAAGAATTTTTTTAAAGTTGAATAAATAATTAACTGTAATATTTTTTTTAATTTTTATTAATAAAAATTAATTAATATATTATTATTTTTTTATTTATTATGAGAAATTAATTTAAATTATACCATCAATTTATAATATTGAAATGAATATATAAATTTCCGATTTTTCATATCTTTTCATGACGCGTTTAAATTTATGATTCTTGTTAATAATAAATTTTACCGTTGACCAATATAGTTGCAGCAGTGTGTGTGTGTGTTTTCTTTTTATTTTTTACGTGAAGAAATTTGAAAATGTGATTATAACGGAAATGAAAAATATGAAATATACACGATGACTGCGAAAGTACATTGGCTCTGTTTAAGTTCCGTTAATCAGTTCAATTGAATAACGCATTAATACGTCGGGGTCATCGGCAGGGGTTAATCGCGATGGCTATGCCAGACACGATGAACACAATCGACGAGGCTGAGAATGCTTGGCGTAAGTAAAATTCACCAAAAAATTAAAAAAAAACAAAAAAATTGAATTTTTCATTACTTGCTCATATTTACAACAAAAGAAAATAAATTGAGAAAAAAAATTTTTTGTTTGAGTTTCTAAAAGCTTCTCTGTAAAGAATCGTTTTTTTAAAAGAATAGAAAAAAAAAATTTAAACCCACGGCTTTTTCCTTTGATGCACAAAGACTATAAGGTACAATTTTTATATATATATTATACTTTTTTTTCCTTGCTAAAAATTTTAAACTTTCTTTTATTTTTGTTACATACACCAAGAGAAATTTTTTATTCTAATTAAATATAATGTACACCTATAAGGCAATAAATAAATATTTATTTTACGCAATAAAATTTTGTATTTAATTTTATTTTTTATCTTTTTTTTTTATTTTATTAATAGAAAAAATATATCAATAGTTTTTAAATGTTTAAAATCCTGCAGCAAGTCATTTATTTTTTTCAATTTGTTTCTATGGATAAATCAAGAATAATGATTATGTAGATTACAAGCAAATATATATTATTGATCTTTTGATAAGATCGCACTCTCTGTCCATTAAATATTGAATAAAGAATTTATTTAGGTATACTAATTTCTTTTTAAAAGACATTTTTCAATTTTTCAAACAGAATGACTCGTCAATTTTTTTTTTCTGATAAAAAAAATTTGTTTCGGCAGTTTTGACATGCCCCCTTAAATGTTGTTAGGATATAATTGACGTAAATTGTGTAGTTGTCACGAGAGAATGGTCAGAGAATTGATCAAAAGTGCAGTCTGCCATGAAAGGGGATGATATTCTAAAATCTACAGACCGTATAACATTGTGTGTGTGTGTGTGTGTTTATTTACTTCTGATCAAAAGTGATATCGGTCCAGTGATCATAGTTTGAAATTGATTCACTTGCCAAACAACTTGTTTCTTTTTTCATTCCTTTTTTCTTTTTCTTTTTATTGATATACACACAATTCAGTAGATAACTAAATGAACGGAAAATTAACTTATATTCGTTAAACTGATAATATCAAAAATCAGTTATGTGCTTGAAATGTTAAAATAAAAAAAAAATTTCTTTTTCAATCTGTATGATATAATAATAAATAAAATAAAATTTTCCAACAATAAAGAAGTATTTTTTGGTAAAAAAGAAATTATTAAAGAGAGAAATTTTTATTTAAAATTCAAAATTATTATACACAATGTGACTTGTTTTGCACACAGAGAAAAATGATTTTTATGTTTGAACCAAAAAGTATGAAATCGTTTTTGTTCATTGAATAAATTTTTGTTTTTGACAAAGATTAATTTTAATTTTAAACAGAATTTTTTGTTTATATACATATCCAAAATTTTTGTTCTCTGATTAATACAATTAAACATTTCGTTGGTTCGACTAAAAAAAAATTTTAATTTTCCAATAACTATAAGCTCCACAAGAGAAAAGATCTTACATTACAGGCCTCGGATTATACGACTTTTTCAACTATTTCCGACTTTTTTCGACTTATTTTAATAAAATGCGACTATTTCGACTTTTTTTTCACATTTTAAAAAAAAAATTTTAATAAAATATATTTTTTTTAGTATAAAATGCAAATCTTCTTTATTTCAATTATTTAACAAATTTTTAACTAAAATTCTTCACTAAATTAATTATTTTTAATAATTTTAATGAAATTTATCACAAATTTAATTATATTTACAATTATTTTTTAAATTAAAATTTAAATCAAATTTAAAAATTGTTCATAATTTAAAAAAAATATCAAATAAAATTACCAAATATTTTTAATTCAAAATCAAATAAAATTCAATTATTTTCAAAAATTTCAACACAGTAATTTAAAAGTATCAAATTGATACGAATTTTTATATCAATTTGATATTTTTGGTATCAATTTGATATTTATAAATTAGTGTGAATTCAAAATCAACTAAAATTCAATTAGTACCTAAAATTTTAATTCAAAACTAATTAAAATTGAATTAGTATTCAAAATTTCAATTCAAAATTAATTATTAATCAAAATTTTCAATCAAATATCAACTAAAATTAAATTATTCTCCAAAATTTCAATTGAAATTCAATTATTTTCAAAATTTACAATTCAAAATCGATTAAAATTCAATTAATTTCCAAATTTTCAATTCAAAATCTTTTAAAATTTAATTATTTTCCAAATTTTCAATTCAATATCTTTTAAAATTCAACTATTTTCAAAATTTTCAATTTAAAATCAAACAAAATTCAATTATTACCCAAAATTTCAATTCAAAATTAATTATTATTAAAATTTTCAATCAAAAATCAACTAAAATTAAATTATTATCCAAAATTTCAATTAAAATTCAATTATTTTCAAAATTTTAAATTTAAAAGCTTCTAAAATCTAATTATTTCTAAAATTTTCCATCGAAAATTTTTTGAAATTTAATAATTTCAATTGAGGAGCCGGATCGTAGAACCGATTCTTCGCTCTCTCCGGAGTCCCTCAAGTGAGCCAGCTTTCAGCTGCGCGGGGGACTTGCGCATTAGTGAAGAATCGGTTCTACGATCCGGCTCCTCAATGATAACTCTAAAGAAAATTCAATAATTTTTAACTATTTTTATAATTTATTCTTTGAAAATTCAACTATCTGAAACCATTTTTCAATTAAAAATGGATTTCAAATTATTGTATTTTTGTCCGCAATTTCTAATTAATTTTTTAGTAAAATCATCAAAAAATTTTAATTAAGAATCACTTGAAGTTCAATTAATTTCAAAAATCTCAATTGTAAATCCCTTCCAAAAGTATTATTATTAAAAAAAAAAGAAATTTATTTAAAATTCTGTAAAATATTTTTGTTAAAATAAAAAAAAACCGACTTTTTCAACTTTTTTTGGAATATAAATCGACTAAAACGACTTTTTTTTGTGCCTTTAAGTCGATCCGAGGCCTGTATGTTAAAAAAATTTTAGGTTATGTTTAGTGATACTTTCACCTTGATAAAAAATTTCTTATTAATTTGATAAAATCAAAATGAGTTTTTATTGAATTTTTTGAGTTAATAATAATTATTTTGTACTATAAGAATTGATTCTCTGTGAGTATTTTTTTACTTCAAAAATCACAAACATAACCTAAAATTTTTTAAACATAAGGTCCCCTCTCTCGTGAAGCGTCACATATATTAATCAAATGTTTTCCTTTCTTTTTGTCAGAGATAAATGTTTTTTTTTCTCTATGATAATATCAAATTATGAATTATAAATAGTTTATTAATAGAGAAATATTTAAAAAATAATTTTTTTTTTCAGACGAGATGTTGGAGTGTGAAACTGGATCGCTATTGGGTCGAGTCGCCGACTTGGAGAAGCAGTCTTTGGCTCAAAGAGACGAGATTGTCTGTCTTCGAGCGACTTTGGCGGATGCTCTCAGGCGAATCGCTCAATTGGAGGGTCGTGAGAAGCGGGAGGATGACAGAAATGAAAGGAGAAACGAGAGAGGTCTCTCTTCGCCCTTGAGGAACGGACACGTTCCATTTAGAAGTGAGTGAAATTAAATTCACTGTGTGCGAAAATGAGACGTGTATATACTCACAACATATATCTATAATAATTATTATTATCCTCATCTACCCACAATAACCTGACTCTCAATTCCTATAAGCTCTTCATAAAAACAAAAGAGAACAAAAATAACAGAAAAAATAATCACTTTTAACTTGAATGAAAACAAAAAAAAAAATGAATATTATGATATAACAAGATAAATTGTAAAATTTAGAATTTTTAGAAAAAAAAGGAAAGGCCAAAAACCCTTAATTAATTGTATGCAAAAAAAAATTACGTTAATTCGAGAAGAATTTCGGAATTAAAATGTCATGCTTTCGGGGTATATGAGACAAAAGATATATTTTTTAGTAAGGTTTTTATAATGTCGTACATTATATATGTGAAAATAATACATAATATCCACCCACACAATTTTCCAAATGACAGGATTTTGTACAGATTTTAAATTGCTTCTTATAAACAAGAAACTATTTTTTAAAAAAAAATGACTTGTATGAATAAGCAAAGTAGGTATTTAGATGACTTATTATCCTTTTGTTATATTCTCGCGGTCATAAAAGAAGTTGAAGGTTTTCCGACAAGTTTATCTTTTGTAAATTAGTTTTACCTTCTTTGAGCTCGCGAAACTTTCACCGTCCCTCCATTATATGCAGCAGTTTTCATTATAATTAAATAGCTTCCTTTTTTGAGTGAAAGAAAAATTGTTTGTTACAAATTTCGACAAATTTTTCGTTACCTGTATTTAATTTTTGTCATTTTTTTTTTTTGTTTTTTTCAAAAACGAAAAATTCTTTTTATATAAGCAACTGTGTATATGTTCACGTCATTCCTGTTTATAAAACCTTTACCAAAAACAAAAAAATAAGAAACACAATTTTTATCCTTGTTTTATGCGTGTCGTCCAAAGTGCACTCTTATTATCGAGTCGCCAAAAATAATTCGTATATGTTTATCTGAATATAAGATGCATATGTGTGCAAAAAGAGGTTTTGCTTCTTCCTGATGATGCTCTTTATACAAGCAGCAAAGTGTTTATAAATATTTACATAAGAGGATATTTTTGAATCAATTAAAATTTTTAAGTGAGGAAAAACCTTTTTTTTTCCTTTTCTACAATTTGGAAAACATTATTAATAAATAAATAAAAAGGGGACACATGAATTTTCCATAAAAGTGATATTTTCATTTTAAAGAATTTAATTAGGTGTAATAATTTTTTAGACGAATTGTCACTTTTCGAATTAGCAATTTGCAGAATTTTTTTTTTTTTTTAATCGAATTTTTACTTAACAAAAATTTTTAGGTGCCGAATTTTTATTTTTATTTTATTGAATTTCTCTTTACTCAATTTTATGCCAGAATATCCAATTTACCGAATCTTTATTTGTTAAAATTTTTATTTGCACGAATTTTTATTTAATAGAATTCTTAAAACGCAAAATTTTCATTTATCAGAAAGAGCAAATGCGGCCGAAGAAACAATCGACAAAAAGATTTCGCCGCTAATTTTAAAATTGACTAATAACAATTTTTCGATAATTTCTGATTGGTTAATTTTTAAATTCGCGCTGAAATTCGATTGTTTGTCAGCGAATTGCAGTTTTGGGCAAATAAAATAATAAAAAAAAAATTCGAATCACTTAAAATTCTGCTAAATTCGATTAAATTAGAATTGTTTAAATAAAAAGTTGGGTGAAGAGAAATTGTGTACAATAAATAATTTAGTCCAATAAAAATTTTATTAAGTAAAAATTCGATTAAAATAAGAAATTCTGTTGATTTCTAATTTGAAAAATGAAAATTTGTCTAAAAAATAAATATATATATCTAATAAAAAATTTATTTAAAATAAAAATTTTCACTAATGATTTTTATGAAAAATTTATACGCTTCAATAAAAGTTTACATATAAAAACTCAAATTAGTTCTATATAAAAAAAAAATAATTTAATTTGTTTTTGGACAAAAAAAAATTTATGGATTTGTATTTTGATAAGAAAAGGGAATGTAAAATATTCAAGTTTCAGGTCATGTATCAAATATATACATGTAGAACAACGCCTCTAATACTTAGTCACGATTTATGTCAGTTGACATTCTCCACATTCGCTATTGCTTAAAGTCATATAAAGGGTGTCTTTAAAGAAAGTACACTCTTTGTATTCAAATTTTTCACAGTCATAATAAAAATCTTTTTTTTTAAATAATAATTAGTTCTATAAAAAATTCCGCAACTCTATTTTTTCAACGTATTTTACACTGAAAAAAATGTTGCCGAGAAATTCAACTATACCATTAAGTAGTTGACTAGAAAGTAGTAAAAATAAATACTTTTTTAGTTAATCTAATCATGTTTCATGTAGTTAAAGTACAACTACAGGTTCGTAGTAAAATTAACTTTCTTAAAGTAATAAAAACAAGTGGAATTGTAGTCAACTCAAAATTTGAAGAGTAGTAAATCCAACTACTATAACTGCTAATATATAACTGCTTTTTGAGTAGTAAATTTTTTATTAATTTCTATCATTCAATAAAATTCTTGTTGTAGAATTAACAAGTCGTCTGTAATTAAAACTACTACTTTAAGTAGTAGATTTTTACTATTTTAATTAATTCGATAAACTTAAAGAAGATTTTTGATGTAGAATTTACAAATCGTTTCCAGTTAAAACTACTACTGTAAGTAGTAGATTTTACTACTCAAAGTGGTACAATAGGCTTTAAGAACATTTTTGTTGTAGAATTAACAAATCCTTTGTGATTAAAACTACTACTTTAAGTAGTAATTTTTTACTATTTTAATTAATTCAATAAACTTGAAAAACGTTTTTGATGTAAAATTTAGAAATCGTTTCCAATTACAACTACTACTTTCAGTAGTAGCTTTTACTACTTAAAGTGGTTGAATAGGCTTTAAGAAAATCCTTTGCAATTAAAACTATCACTTTAAATAGTAGATTTTACTGCACTATGCAATTAAACAATTTATAATATAATTAAAAGATGAAAAATTGACAAGTCAAAACTTAAAAAGGATAGTTATAGCAACTAATAAAAGTAGTAAAAATGACTACTTTAAATAGTTAAATTACCAATTGGACAAGCAGAAAGTAGTCTTCAAGTAGTTTGCAGACTGTCTTAGCGAGCGTGCGTGGTTAGTCGGTTAAGGTATCGGATTGCGAGCGTTAGGGTCGTAGGCCAGTCAATAAAGACAAAAAGTGCCATTAAATGTAGACAGGCAACTCTAACCGGAATTTGGTAGTTTGGGGGGGTAGTATAAAGGCCCCACAGTTTGCTCTCGATTTCCGGTTGCAGAAGTTGTTGTAAACAATGGTTGAAGTTGGTGAAATGTGGTTTTTGCGTGCTCGTTACTTTCCTCTACATTTTAGAGGAAAAAGTTGTTATTAGAAAAAAAAGGTATTAAAAATACCTACAAAATGGTGGGTCGAAAGTTAAAATCGGATTATTTGTTTAAAAGTTATTGAATTTAAACCATTAAAAATGGTACTTTTTTAATTGTTTAATAACTTTGTTAATAATAATCCGATTGAAGTGAAACTTTCTGAAAATGTGCCCCTCATGATACTGAACAAAATGAAAAAACTTCAAGTTTAAACGGATGAATAGTTTATAAATTATTCCATTTGTTAATTAAAAACATGTTGTTTTTCAACCTAATAATTTTATTTTCCTATTTTAAGTAGTAAAATCTCGAGGGGGAATTTACTCAGGTAGTCAAGTGTACACTCTTCCTGTAATACTTATGTAATAACGTGTAATACCGTGTAATAACGCAAAAAACTCTGTAATATCTTTGTAATACTCTGTAATAACGTGTAATACTTAGTAATAAGGGTAATATGAGGTGTAATACCAGTAGTCAAGTGTACACGTTTTTAACTAGTAAATTCCCCCTCGTAAAATCTACTATTTAAAGTAGTAGTTTTAATTACAAAAGATTTATTAATTCTACAAAAAAATGTTCTTAAAGTCTATTGAACCACTTTAAGTAGTAAAATCTACTACTAACATCTTGAGTTATTTTAACATTTTTAGTCATGTGAAGTTGGCACCAAAATCTCAGAAAATGAAAAATCCACAATGAGTTCTGGGTAAATTATCAATAGCTCTAGAGTTCTATAAGTTTTAATTCAATAGTTCCGTAGATTTAGACCAGAAAACATGATATTAAAAAAATAAGGTGCTAACTTCACCCAGCACTATAAATTTCGCAAAAAAGAGTTCTGACATATTATTCCGATAGAAAATACAGAGTTCTAGAGTTCTCTTATAAAACAAAAAAAAGTTCCGCAAAATTTAAAAATTTTAATTTTGAAAAATTTAAAGTTTTAGTCAATTTGACCAAAGTTCTGGCACCTTTATCAATAGTTCAACAAATTATTCTTATGAAATTCTACTCTTAAGGGTATGTGGGAACCTCCCACGTGACCTAGTATGGAAAAACGTATTTTGTTATTATACATCCTTCTCTAAAACGAGAAAAGATTTTTGTCTAAAATTTTGAGGGATGATAGATTTTGGTACTTACAATGAATCTCGCTGTTCTCCGAAAAATACATAATTTTGCGTTAAATTATTAAAAAAATGAAGTTTAAAAAGTGGGATTTTTAAACGAAAATGAAAAAAAGATGCACAGAAAAAACCTGAATTCAAATTGAGTATAGATTCTATACTCAATTTGATTCGCAACAAAAATGAAACTGGTTTTCTCATTTCGAGTTCTAAGGTAAAAGTATAAAAATGAAACAGGCAAGTTTCATTTTGAGAAAAAGAAAAATGGAAAAATATTGTGAAATAACGAATAATTTTGCACAAAAACATGAAATATAATAATTACAAAGAAGTAAATAACACGCTAGACTTAATATATTTGATTAAAAATTGCTTGTAATCGCGTAATAAAATAATAAAGGAAATATGTTTTTAGGTTAGAAAAATGAAAACATGTGTTT